CTAATATTTCTCTTTGAACGGCAGTGACACCTTAAATCTGGTCTCTAACAAAACATTATTGAGATAAGTTGAGAAGTTTTTCTCAGCTAACACTGTTCTGATTGAGCTTTTTAGGGAGTTAAAAAAATTTCGATTAAAAAAATGAAAAAGTTTAGACAAGTTGAAGAAAATAAGGTTGATGGTTTTTGTAACAATATGATTATCTTTGATAAAAGAACGTGGACTTGCTCTCGACATATTTTATTGAAAAAATTGTATATCTAGAAAATCGTGAAATTCATTTTATGACTTAATCCTGAAGGGGACTAGAGGGAGTTTTACGACTAAAAAAATTCTTTAGACCGGTAAAAACCGGCCGGTCCAACCATTTCAACTCTGTTACAACTCTGATCTAAATATCTAACCAACCCACAAACAGTGAACCTACGCAAACTGTAAACATGTACATGGGTACATTTCGAAATACCTAAATATCTAGGTGGGGGACGAGTATGGGGAATGAGAAAATGCGTATGAGCGACCTCTACGATCAGCTCTATTGGTCGAAATATTTATCTCACCTTCGCTGAATGAAAATGACGTAGAGTAGGTAGTCGTGTATGCGCAATCAGAAAATGAGCATTAGTGACCTCTACGATCAGCTCTATTGGTTGAAATATTTATCTCACCTTTGCTAAATGAAAATGGCCTAGAGTAGGTGTAGACCGGTTTTTAGGGCCAAAAACCACTTTTAAGACAGTTTTAAACCATAAACTCAATTCTGAAGTGAAAGAAAACCACCTCTTAGGAATCACCACCAAAAATTGCATCGACTGATGTGGTTTTCGAGTTCATCAGACGGAAAAAGATTTTCAACCGAAAAATGACTGGAAACCCTGCGTGAAAACGGTCAAGAATTTTTATCCGTCCGATGAACTCGAAAACCATTTCAGTCGATGCAGTTTTTGACAATGATTCCGAATATCATATTTGTTTTGTTTTAAAATTGGTTTTAGGGTACAGAAATCTTAAAAAACTTGTTTTGGGCCTAATCACCAGCTTACGGTAGTGGCTATGTTTGTTCTCCAATTTTCTTCGAGCTGGCCAAAAAATGCTAAACCGGTTTCGAGTTACTGTGATTTAAGCTTTTTTGCAAAAAAATACTGAACAGGATCTTATGATACGATATAATTGGTAATTAGTATGAACTAATTAAAACACCTATCAAAACTACTCTTCTCCTGTTTTTTTCTGTGTTTTATATAGACAATTTCTCACATCGACATGCAGGAGCCTCTACCAACTGGCAAAGTTAGAGATCAAGCTGTTTTAGTCAATGTATTTGACAATACATAGAAAGAGCATGATTTTTATCTACGTACGTAAGAACATTTTTTTCTTTTTCACTGCTGCTGATAACTGCTGAACCTCATCAGTCCTACACCTGCATTTGTCCTACCTATAGGTGTTATGTACAAATCAAAAAAAAATTTTCTTTCGTCGACGATGTATTCTGTGTATTTTCAAAAACCAGAATTATGAAGCGTTTTTAAACACCATCAATCAATGGCGTCGAAATATTCGTTTTACCGTGGAAGTTAAAAATCATGGACATTTATTGTATCCTGATGTAGCATGTACCAGCAAGTGCAAACAACTCGAAAAAGCTGAATCGAAGAGAATAAATAAGATATTGAGTACGTTGGTTCAAGCAGTTTCAGCACAAATACAGGTGTAGGACTGATGAGGTTCAGCAGTTATCAGCAGCAGTAACCAATTACCGGCACTCGGGCATCCCAGCCAAGAGGTGTTATTGAAAGATTTACGAAGGATTTAGGCGAACGATTTACGATGAAAACAATCCCATTATTCAAGCAATTACATTGCGTGAGGATACTATTTAGATTTCATTATTTGTATAATTTGTTATTTATATCATTTAATTGTGAAAATAAAGATTTATGCTCAAAATGATGATAAATGACTCTGTAGAAAAGCCTAGCATCATAAATTGCTATGCCGATTCGGGTGTCAATGAAAAAGCACGCTATACTTTTGAAATTAGTTAAAGGACATTTTTAGCTATGAACTTATTTAGGAAAACACGTAATCTAGAAAAATTAATTCCAGCAGCATTACGATTCGATTCGCATGGAAACTTAAGTCGATGGTCATATGGTATAATTAGTCCCAAAATATATTCCATAATAGAAATCAAGAATAAAATCATCTTTTTCATGTTGAAATTCTTTTTCTCAAAAACCTGCGTCAGTTATAGAAATGATGGCTTTTTTGTTCTTCTATACAAACATCATATTTATTTGGGTATTTTTTATAAATATTATATTTTACAAAAGTACTTCTGTTTTTCTTTTCCTATCGTTCATATTTCATCTTGTGATTGTGTACTGCAGTTGGAATAGACTATATAGCTGTAAGCATTAGACCAAAAATATGCAATATAGGTCAATTATATGTCAGAATAAAAAGAAAGCAATTGTGCCGTTTGTTGCTGGTAGTACAGTTGAAGGTCAATTTTTTTCAAGTCATTTTCAAGGTAAAGTTTTTCAAGATTTTGATGTGATGAGCTGTATAGGGGAAATTAATGATGAAAATCAGCTAATACCAATTTTGAATCAGCCAGGTTATGTTCGAATATTAGCGAACAGCAATAATCATACTGATACATTACCGGTTTCATATCTACTAAATGACAATCGTCCATACATTAACGGATGGAAAATAAAAGTTGAAGAAATAGCAAAAACACTTCAATCACCATTCTTAAATATTGAAAAATTCGTTGTTGATAAAGCAAGTATTGAATTTATTATTAAAAATTCATATTTTCTTACAAATGCAAATGAATTTCAAAATGCATTAAATGATTTTCAAATATACCATAAAAATGTATTATCAAAACAAGATACTCAAAATACATTAAATGAAAAATATAAACTTATGTGTGATTATTACAAAAGAAACATGTTAGGATATATAGATATGCTTGAAACAGTTTTTGACAATATGCCTTATGATAAACCATTTATTTTTCCTTATGATGGTAATGCAGGTAAGTAACTCACTTAGCAGTCATGGCATAATGGCGAAAACATACGCAATAATCTTCTTGGAATGAGGTAGTGCACGCTAACCCGAGAAATTTTTGGTAATGGCACGTTTTGATGATTGGAAAAAACTTATAGTTAAAAAGTTTTTTTTCTAATCCAAATAAAAATCTGGATGTACAGAATTATGGAGTTCGTTAACTAATATAATGTTCACAGAAAATAACTTTAATCTTTCCGTCCGGTAGACTCAGCCGACTTGTATCTCTGAAAAAAGTTTTGCTGACACTTACCAAAGCGACTCTTGGCAAATCAAGTTTCAAAGGTTTTATTGTACGGTGTCGGTTCCAAACGTTTTAATTTTTCCCTTAAATGACGTTCTCGATCATGACAATGACCTGTCATGCCTTAGAATTCATTCGTTTGGTAGATTATAATACTCTAAAATCATCACAGTAATTAGAATTATAGCACTGACCAAAAAATAAGCAGACGCCGACAACAGAAAGAAACTTTCAGAATATGATTCTGAAGAAGAGATATCTACTGTTACAACAAATAGAAACGTCTTTACACCGATTCTTCACCACATATTAAAATACGCCTACCAAAGACGAATCGAATAATGCATAATAAGTCTAAATTATGTCTGGTTCTGAATGAGATATTAGGCTTTATGTAATAAAACGTATATGTTGTAACCAAAACTGAACTTTTAATTTTGGCTGCGAATCGTCAGCCGAATTTTAAATTTTAATTTTGGCTACGACATATATATGTGTCAGCATTCAAACTGACATTACGTCTAGTAGAAAGAGCGACCCTTAATTCCTCACCCACAATAGTTAACCTTCATACTTTGACTGGATAGTGTAGATTAGTTGTTCCTAGGATGAGTTATGCATTTTTCTTAGGAAGGGAGATCCCGATCGTAAAATAGCTGTCTTCAATAACCATTAGCAGTTATCGCTCTAAATTCATATCGTAGATAGAAGAGAATCAGGACTATATTTTGGTAAAAAGAAAAAGTTCTCATTTCTCTTGGATCAGGAGTTATTAGCATTTTACGAAAAAGAAGTAAAACGCTTATATCGCACAAACCATCT